GGAAGGATGTTAATTTGGATCATGGAGAGCAAAAGTGGGTGATTTTATCAAATAAAAATATTAATATAGAGAAAAATGTAAATTTGTAGTTATCAGTAAATTTCTGAAAGGAGACCTTCACTTTTTAAATTCAATTATTTCTTTTAAATAATTTTGTATCTTAGTTTCTTAATTTAAGTTCTGTTTGCATAATGAGCTTAGAGCTGATCGTTGCACAATTAACTACCTTCTGGGAAAGCATCAACTGCTAGGTGCCCCCACTGGGTCAGTTTGCCTTCCTGACACAAATGCTGTAAATATCTGAGGGAGATTTAGGGGGAGAGGTTGATGGTTTCAAATATCTAAGAAGCTTTGGTGCTCTCAGGATTCAAATCTTCCTGATGTCATGAATTTTTTAAAAAACACACTGCAGAATAGTTAGATCCCGTCATAAGATCTATTGTTAGGAAATGCTTCTGCAGCATTGCTATTTTCTGCCAGATTCTTTTGGATCTAGGATTATGACTTCTGCCTTGGAAGGATTTTTTTTTCTTAAGGTGGATATCCATATATATCACTCTTGAGTATCATATTTAGGATGACTTGATAGTATCAGAGAAAAAAATACGAGATATCTATTTTGAAGGACTGTATGTTTAATATACATATAAACTGTACTTCACTAATTTCCCGTATTTTCAACAGTTAAAAAAATCTGTATAAATCCCTGTTCACCATCATGCTTTTCCTTTACCATCTCATCTATTGTGTAATCTGAGAAAAGTAAGAAATTAATTGTCCTCCAAAGGGGCAGCTTGTCTTCTGTGCTCACTCTTAGTGTGAATAATGGGATTCTTGAAAAACAAGCCACAAATCCAAGTGTTTCTGTGTAGCCTACTAATATTAAATGCTGCTCAGGTAATTCAGTGTTTCGAAATAAGTGGCTCAAATTCTCTGCGGAGTCTAATCCAGGCATGTGCTGCCACTGTTCAAAATGTACATATGTTTGGGGAACAGCTTGTGGTGAATTCTTAAAAGAGGTGTGAATAGATTAGTAAAAAATTTTAAGGACGAGTGGAATCATTTACCACTCCTCAAGTGATCTGGGACTTCCTTTAAAAGGTTACATTGTTAAGTGCTCTGCACAGATAAAAATAAAGCACTGAAGATGCAATTTAAGAAAAAATATGATGTGTTAACAAAGCCCTAATTAAATGCCAAACATGGGAGGTTTCTTCCCAAGAAGAGACCTGTGGTGCTGGGAGATACTGAAGAGCCACACAGCTCCGCACTGGCCCTGGCCAAGACCAGTGGCAGAGACGACAGCACCTACAGCAGACATTGACCTCCCTAGGCATCTCCTCAGCTTTCACAGCCACGACTTTCTGATTTAATCAGCAGTGAATCCACTCCTGTGAATTTGTCCAATCCCATTTTGAATCCTTTCATTCTTCTGGCCTTGCAGAAGGATGCCCCACCTTCTCTCTCCAAGCTGCAGGTAGCGATTTCATGGACCACTCCTTTGAGCAGAGGCCATTTTCTGCTTCTGACTGCCATGCTGTCTTTCTCTGAATCTTTGCTAGTTCAGTGCTATGATTTTTGAGATGAGGATACTGAAACTATCAGCAATACTCAGATTTCAGGTGCACAGTAGTAACTAGCAATAGTTTGTTTCATTTGCTATTCTTTTTCTAACTCTTAAAATTCTGTTTAGTGTTTTACTGAGTTAATGGTTTTAGAGAAGTAGGCATACTGATTTAAAGATCTCTTGCATGGTAATAATGATTTTAGGGCTCATCTCTGCTTAAACTTACGCAGGATTATTTTTTCCCCATGTGCATCATCTTGCATTTCATTTCATGAGATCTTGTCTGCCACTTCACTCAACCCACTCGGTACTGAGAGTTTTACAGCTCTTCCATGCCTGTTTTAGATGTGACCATTCTGAACGATAAAAATTCTCCGTTATGGAAATTCACAGTTCATTTCTACCTTTGTTCCTTAGCTTTTAATTAATTAATCCCCTATGAGAGTAGCTCCTTCTTATCCCTTCACAATAAGTATTTCACCACCAAAGGCTCTTAAAAATTATAAGTTTTCTAACATATTCTAACATGTTCATATTTTCATGAATAACCTGCACATCAGGCAACATGCATCCCTTAGAAGCACTCAAGCTTATAAATAAATCCTTAAATAAATCTTCCCCTCCCAAGGCAGCAGCAGGGACCATGGTGGCCAGGATATCGTGGCTTAGGAGAAGACTCAGGTAAAGTTCCACTGGGAAGAGCAAGCAGAGACCAGAAACTCCTTGGCATGTTACTGGGAGAGAAGGAACCAGGAGATAAACTTCTCCTCATATTATCTACAAATTCATAGAAACCAGCTTCTGCTGAATGGCTGTGAGTTTCATTAGTAAGTCATTGGATATACCTATAAAACCCTGATATGGCACACCAGTAGTCTCCTTCGCAGAATCTGATGGAGATTAAGGTTCCTTCTGTAAAAGTTTTCCACACCCCACTCTGCATCAAGATCGTATGACAACACATCCCTCCAATACAACCTCAGAAGAGGAGCATTAAATCCTCAAAAACCAAAGTGCAGTAGAAAAGGTACCTTGACAGACACAAATTTTGTTCTGAAGGTCACCTACTGTTGATCGTTTCATAGCATGGCAGGATGAAGGGAGTGCAGTGGTACCAAAACATCTAGAGGAGATATACCTTTATTGGGAAGGTAAAGGCCATTAGGCTTAAAAAGAAGAAAAAAAGGAATGCAAAGTTCCTCCTCTTTCTCCCTCCCTTCGCTTTTCTCAGAATTTGGAGCAGGATCAGACTCTCATGGCTCTCCCACTTCCAGCTTTGATTTCAGCAGACATCTCAAACATACATACAGCTGCTCTATTCATTTGTCAGGTGCTACAAGTCCAACAAAATTTGTTCTGGCAAATTAATTGGATTTCCCACCCACCCACCTACCCCCCTCACTAATGAAGTGATGTCTCTACTTAATTATTTAGGCTAGCAAAAACATCTTCTTTAGGTTTAGGAATGGCAGGCATGGGAATTTTAACAATGGCATCTAAAGCATAATACTTCCCCTTCTTTCTTCCTACTAAATTTCTTGCTCTTCCGTACAAGTCCGTCTCATTTTCAGATCTCCCCTGATGTGTAGTACAGACATGGTGTTTTCAGACAGATCTTTTATTACATATACCTGAAACAGGCACATTTTAGTCTTAGCTTAAATGATTCTTGATCATGTTTAAGAATTGATTTGATGAGAAAGGCTCTGTGTGAATGTAAACTATTTCAGAGTCAAGTCGCTCTTCAGTGTCAAGTTACTTGTTTACTTACTGATATGCATGATGGCAGTTCTATATCTGCATCGAGGGCAAAATAAACACAATTTTTGTACAAAGTGTGGCCATGCGTATTTAGTATATCTTAAAACACAGAAAGGTTTACACTCTGTGGTATAAATTATGTGCTTATTTCCTAAGCAGCAAATTATTTCTGAAGTATATTAGTTGTGTCCATACTACTAAAAACATAATTTAATTTATATTCTTGCCTGAACTGAAGTGATGAAGGAGTGTGCGGTTTGATTATGGCTTGCACTTCAGAGTTCTCACGTATATTTTTAATTCTCAGAAAATTAATTTTTAACACTGTAAACAACACTTGCATCAGTACTAGAAACAAAAGTCACTGAGGTATGTGTATTGTGACTTTGCATGAGATGTGCAATCTGTGTTTGTCACCATCACCTTCAGGGAATGTTTGTCAGAAAGCTGAGAAATTTGTTCTGCAGTGATGGAGTATTCTGAACACATCTCCTGTTAGAACCTTGTTTTATATAAGTATTGATAGCCTAGATATTTCCCCCCAAAAATGTTTGATGAATCTTTTCTTTCACCTTTTCCAAGTTCTCTTTAGATATTAGAATTTTGAGGTTATATTTAAAAAAAAAAAAAACACAACTGTTTTTAAACACCAGCTGCAGGTATATAGTGAGGCCAAGAAGCTTTGTGCTAAATTTGCCAAGACTGAAGTGTGGGATTGGTGAGGGATACTTAGACACCACTAGGATATTAGTAGAATATATAGTCAAATTTAATTGTGATAAGCATATTTACAAGTAGTAGAAAGAAAGGAAAATAGCATGCTCTTTGGGGAGTCTAGATAAAGAGAAAAGAAGTCAGCTATAGCATATGCTTTTAGTTAAAAACCAGAGGAGAACAGGGAAGAAACACTGGGAAAAAGATCAAGAGTAATATTTAGAAAATTCAATGGAAAAGGAGCAAAAAGGTGGAGAACCACAGAGAAGCACAAAAGTAGAAGCAAGGTTGATCTGTAATGTTTTGAGAATGGGAGAGACGGTGTCTATTTGATGTGGTAAGTGTCTATTCACTCATAATTAACTCTAAATTCATGCTAGCATGTATCTAATTATAAAGCTGCACATCTCAAGAAATCTTCAGTATGATTTCTATTTATCATTAACATATTTGAATGGAGGAGGAGAACAATTTAGTGAACCCTGGCCATTTCCAGTAGTAATATCTATTTATATATAAAATAAATCATGCTTGTAATGCCTCTGTTGCAACACACAAATAAAGAAATTCTGTAAACTAGGAGGTGGGAGGCAATTTATGACTACTACTTGTTGTGCAAATTTATCCCCTTCACTGTTTTAATGCCTTATTGTTCTCCTGATCTGTTTATTATCTTGTTACGTGCCAGGTTTGCAAACTAGCTGAACCGTAAACTGATTTTGGACTTCATGTGTATATGCCATGTGTATATGCACATCTGGATTCTGAATTTTTAGTGAAATTTGTACTGTGTTAATGCAAATGATATTGTATAAGAATTTATATTTTTAGATGTTTATATAAAAGCTGGTTTTTAATTCATATGGAATTTTCTTCCAAATGAACTCATTTTCTTTTGCTTGTGAACATCACCACTTGTTTCAGCATGTGCTAACTGTGACTATTGTTCTTTGCCTAGCCGTACCCCATAAAATAGGGCGGATAATTGATGGAAGTCCTGCGGATCGCTGTGCAAAACTTAAAGTTGGAGACCGGATCTTAGCTGTGAATGGCCAGTCTATTATTAACATGCCTCATGCAGATATTGTGAAGCTAATTAAAGATGCAGGTCTCAGCGTAACTCTTCGCATCATTCCTCAGGAGGGTAAGTCAATGGCCCTTAAAAACAGGAAGAAAATTTTAAGTAGCCTCCAATTAGCTTGAATTATGTCACCACTTGAAAGAACATCTTTTGTTTCACTTTCTCAGCTGTAACGTACAGCACACTAAAATTACATCCTTAGAATCAGCTCAAATAATATCTGAATTCTTGAAAAGGTTTCTAGTTATGAAAAGGGTATTTGAAGCAAATCTGGAGAAATGCGAGAGACAGATGAGTTCCAGAGAGTCAGTGTTAATGTCTTTCGGAAGAATTGCCTTCTACATGGTAAAGCACACGACAAGAGAGACAGGTTTTGAGGTCGTTCCCTTGTATCCTGCTATAAACCAAACTGAAGTTTGGCAAAGTGACTCACAAGAGACTGCAATGGCTGTCACCAGGCATGTTCAGCTACCCGGGACAAAAAGTGATGTGAAGGAAGAGTTCAGATTTGGTAGTTTCCTCTACGCATATCACTATAAATGCACAAGGCAGGAAAGAATTGAACCTTAATTTATCTCATTTGTAAGGTGAGGATAAGGGGACAGACTCATTATTCTGGTCATTACTCCCCAGCTAATCAGTGAAGATCTTTTGATGTTGGTTTCATGGGTTTTGAGGTTGATGTCAGGGCTCTTTTTAGTTTAGCAGTGTGCTGTACTGATGTATGAATTGTACCATATTAATGAGACTGTGGCTTTATATCTCAACAACAAATACCATTAGAGCTAGGAATGTCACACAGCAAGTAAAGTAATTACTTAATGATCCATGCTCCAGTTGGACGACCTTCACGTTCTGCTGCTGCATCCAGCAACAGGACAAAGGAATAGTCTGACACTGGCTATGGACTGTAACTGGGGGAACTTATCTACTTTGTTAAATGAATTCAGTGAAGGGAAAAACACAAACATACACAAGTTCAGAACTCATACCAAGAGCTGCTGTATAACAACTGGAGATCAATTTTGCAAGCGCCTACCAACAAGTGTGATGCTGCATACAGTCCATGCAGCTTATCTAGGCCTCCCTGGTACCCAGATTACTTCATATTAGCAAATTGCTAATAGTTCAGTGTTGGCGATGGAGACCTTAAATTAGAAAGAAATCAGAAGTGAGTCTGAGAGGCAGTGCTACAAGATGTTCTCAGGTGCTAGTGGTGAGAAATCATTTGTGCCCAAGGCATGGCTTCACTGCGTGACTGTGTGACACTGGACACCCCGTTTGCCTTCTGATACTAGCTTCCCAGCTTATAAAATTAGGAAAAAATCTAATATCTCTGTAATGTACTTTCAGGTGAAAAATATCATATAAATGCAAAGCAGTTTTAGAAGCAGCTTATGATTTGACTAGTTCATCCATAGTTATGAGAGTAATGTAGAAATGAGGGACAACATTCCCAATCTCCATCTCCGAAACTTTGTGATACAAAAGAGACTCACAGATGCAAAATGGGCAATTAAAGCCTTAAGCATAGTAATTACACAGACAAGTATTGCTTATGCCTGCATGAGGAGTGTTTTAAGTGTAAATATAAAAGCTTTTTTGACAATTAAGGCTAAATTGAGAAGATTTTTAATAAAGTAGCCAAAATTTTTAAAATATAAATTAAATAAATAGAGATCCATTAGAAATATGCAATCATAGGGGACAAACCTACATGTTAAAAAATAAAAAATAAAACCATTCAAAATTCAAATTAGATTCAAATATAAAACTAGGCAAGATCTGGATCGTGCATAGCTGTTGCTGATAGGGATGCTCAGCCATATGCATGTCCACTCTGGATGCTTTGCACACCACCACACTGGCCTCTCTTATTCAGTTTCAAGCAGGAATAAAAAAAAATAATGTGTATCTTTGCTGTTGATAATGCATTAGCAGTTACTTCTGCAGTGCTCTTGTGGGTGGAGTATCTCTCATTCACACTTCTTAATAGATAAAAGATGAGCTGCATAACTGTGCCAGTGTGTTGGGAGAAATACATTAGACATGAGCTCCATGCCAAATGTGTATTCCCTCCAGTGCAGCGGGAAGCCTGAAAGAAGATTGGCATCCTTTACTTGTAACAAGGCCACGAAGCCACATTTCCTACCCCAGCCTCTCTGTCTTTTTAAATTTTATGTTGTTTGGAAGAAGGATTGTGGTTTTCTGCAGTGTTCCTATGTGAAACCCTGATCATTTGGCCCAATACAGTGAAATAAAACATTGGTTTAGCTGGTTCATCAGAATTTATTGAGATTGGTTTTATTGTTCACAGTCCCCAAAGGTTTAAAAAAGAGGAAACTCTCATTGAGCTCAAAGACAGCAGGTGCTAACACAGGCACACCAGTGTTTTAGCTTTTGTGACAACAGTCTGTCATCCCATAACAGTGGTGAAAGTAATACAATCATTCATTCTTTCAAAACAAAAAGTATTTCAAATATCTAGAAGCTATGCTAAGGCACATGAAGGACAGGAGGGTGATGCGAGACACCCAACACCGCTTCACCAAGGGCAAGTCCTGCCTGACCAACCTAGTGGCCTTCTGTGATGGAATGACTGCACCAGTGGACAAGGGAAGAGCTATGGATGTCATCTATCTGGAATTCTGTAAGGCTTTTGACATGGTCCCCCACAACATCCTTCTCTCTAAATTGGCAAGATATAGGTTTGATGGGTGGACTGTTCGGTGGATGAGGAATTGATTGGATGGTTGCGTCCAGAGGGTAGTGATCAATGACTCAATGTCCAAATGGAGATCAGTGACAAGTGGTGTCCCTCAGACGTCCATATCAGTACCAGTACTGTCTAATATCTTCATCAATGACATAGTGGGATTGAGTGCACCCTTAGCAAGTTTGCAGAAGACACAAAGCTGTGCAGTGCAGCTGACACATCTGAGGGACAGGATGTCATCCAGAGGGACCTGGACAAGCTCGAGAAGTGGGACATGTGAACCTCATGAGGTTCAACCAGGGCAAATGCAAGGTCCTGTATTGTATCAAGGTGACACCACGGTATCAATGCAGGCTGGGGGATGAAGGGAT